CAAAGTATGGCTATAATTGAAGACCTTATTTTGCATACATGGTGGGCGTTAAGTTAAGCTTATTCACCACTTCATTGATATTTTTCCAATTTTGTAATACTACTTGTCATAGTACCCATGTAGATGCAGAGTAAGGCTAGCGAATAAGACCTTATTTTGCATTCATATGGGCATCATGTTAAGATCGATAGATATCTATTTACTTTTTTCCCAAATTAAGTTAAACAATCTGGTAATATATTTTCTTCTTAATTAAAATTGATAAACATTAAAAGCAGCTTTAATTTCCACATTGTGGACAAATTTCATGTGAATAATCTTAAATATGAATAAATTCTGAAAAGTCTACATATAAATTGTTTTCAATTTTGAAATAATTTCAAACAATTTGGAATATTTTACATTTTTGAAATATAACATTTTTGCAAATACGTATATCATTATTGAAGAAACGTGAAGATTCTTTGAAAATAATATTGCTGATAATTTTATAAGCTAATTCAAAAGCTGAATACGCTATAGGAAAAAAATCAAAATTATAGTTTTATACCCTTTCCGTTATTAACTTCCCAAGGGAGAAGTTTATTTTCGCGAAAAAATCCGATTTGCTAATTTTATGTTTCTCGCCTTTTCAAGACATTCTGAATCGAAAAAGAACAAATTGAAAAAGGTTGCGTGTGTGTATGTGTGTACCGTTTTTTGTTCAATAATGTATTATTAGGATTAGCTATAAATCGCTATAACAATTATTATTTTTCTACGGAAATTTAAATGTGTACGATAAAGAGATTAATTATTTGAAAGGTTAGCTAAAAAACAGTTTAGCTATTTGACAAGGCAAGACTAAAGTAACAAATGAGGTTTCCGCGTCATGATCGGCTACATGAGTGCAATGTAGACTAGAATATGATTCTACATTTACAGATTCTGCATTTGTATGGCTGCTTTTGTTCGAGGTTTATTAAGCATTGAATTTCAAACATGATTATGAATATGTATAGCTCTTGTAATGTGAAAGTCCATAATGGAAAAGTGAAGTGAAACGCGCAATAGAGAAAGTGTCTTAACATGATATGACTACTATACTATACACAAATGCAAAGTATGGCTCTACATAAGACTCTATTTTGCATTTGTGCATTTGATTATGTTAACTGGAAATGTCAATTTAAGAAAGTTTTTTGTGTTACTGAATTATTTATAATTTCATGGTAATCTAGTAACTTGAGATTGAAAATAGTGAACTCCAATCCTACATTTTCTTTTGATTAAATTAAACATAATTTGTAAACTATAGCTGTGAAAGGCAAATATTTTATGTTAGTTCTATGAAGGCCATAAACATATAGAAAGATCATATATAATAAATTTCTTCTATTATAACTACACAATAATAACCTTCTTAGATTCTATTTGATTATAATAAAAACATAAGGCAAGACATGTTGTGTCCTTGTGTGCAATGACTAGTGGTTATAATTGTGTTTCTTACCCATTGTAAAGTCAAAGAATTGTGATAAGTTAACATCTGAGGTCTGATAGTGGGGATAATGAACTTACTTATGAAATACTACTTCAGTACAATGCTTGTTAGTGACTTACCGTTCCCCATCTCTGCAATTAGGACAGGTACAAGCAACCCTTCGTAACCTTGGTTTAGGAGTGGGATTATCAGGGTCATCAGTAGCTCCAATATTTTGTGATGGCGAGTTCATATTTCCTGAGTTTGAAATAGGTGGTGAATTACTTGGCCGTTGTGACTATTTGCCATTTTGTTGGGTCATTAGGATCTTGTTGTTTTGTTGTCCAGCTGTAATTCATACTTAATAAATTAAATATAAATTTAAAATAAGTTCTATTGTCATAAATATTCCTGGTTTTCAAATGCTTGTCTAATTCAGTTGAAGAAAAAATTTTTTTAATTTTCCATATTCAAATCCAAAATTTTAAACATTGCAAACAACAAAAAAATCTAAAGTCAAAACAGTGTGTTTGTTTCCATGTCAATCATTTATGCTGTAGTCATTAACTAAAAATTGAAATTATTTGAAATATTTGGAATCCATCAAACAATGACATCTGAACAATTTACAAAAATTTTAAAATAATTGTGTTATTTTGGTTCTATGTATATTCTTTTTTTTTTTTTTTTTTTTTTTATATACCCACTTATTATTTGCGGTTTTGTTTCGTGTGCAATGGAATGTGTGTTCTGTTGCCCTTGTAATGATGCTAAACCTAATTGAGATTGAGCACCCAGACTTAAGGCGTTTGCTGGTATGACTTGTACATTACCAATTCCGGGAATGTTTTGCACTGGTATTGATTGCAGAGCGGATAATTGGGCACCTGTATAAAAATTTAAAAGTCATAAGCATAATAAGTCATAAGGTAAAAGTGATAAAAAAAAAGCAAATTCTTAAACTTATAATTCTTCGTTGACAAGTTTGTCTTTAAGGAATCATTTCTTAATATTGATTCAAAGAACGTACCTGTATAATATTTGCTCCAGATCTCAATTGCCCAATATTTATACCATTTCCTGGGACAACAGTTAATTGCTGACCATTGGGCCCAGTTATAGTGATTGGTTGACTTTGGTTTTGTAATAAATTTGCTGTCTGTGAATCTGTAGTGATTGAAGTGTTCAGAGAACTAGGAGCTGAGACAGTCTGTAAAATTTTTATGTTGATTAACACACGGAAACCTAATACTTTTTATAATCTAAAAAAAATTACTGAGTAACTGAGTGATTTATAATATTATGCTTTTATGGAATAGCATAAATCATATACCTATGATTAAATTTTTTCAATTACCTGCGTTGATGAAGTCGGGCGGTGCTATTCCACGATGTGGATGTGTTAGCCGCGTTATTATTCGCCGTGGCAATTTGGGACAGAACACTTTGTTGAGATTGATTAGCTTGAGCTTGAGCCTGTGCTTGGGCCTGGGCCTGTGCCTGTGCCTGTGCCTGAGCCTGAGCTTGAGCTTGAGCCTGTGCTTGAACTTGTGCAGCTTGCAAGCCAGCCAAAGACGTTAGTTGTATTTGTTGTATTTGTCCATTTGAATTAATGACATTTGCCACTTGTGACTATTGGAAACAAAAATTATTTAAAACAATTTATATTTACAAAGAACTATTTAATTTGTACAAACTTATTAAGATTATCTAAATTTATAATGTATCAAATAAACTGATGCAAATTTAAGTAGAAATCTAAATAAGCTTTATTAGTTGACCAAGCATTGATAGAAGAAACTTCCAATGTTATTATATAAAATTTTGACAAACCTGTGCTGCTAACTGCGGTATTATTTGCATCTGCGGTTGCACTAGACCAGGAATTCCAGCAAACGCTTGCAATGGGAAATGGACGGTCTGCAAAACTGTTTGCCCGTTGGCGTGCTCACGGAACTTGTACCGGTATTGTTTGGGCAGCCATCGCATTAGCGAACTGCACTACTTGAGGCATAGGAGATCGCACCGAAACATTTTGGCCTGAGGAGTAAATTGTTCTTCAATCAATACTGGTGCTGATAAAAAATGAAATCGCGAAATCTATTCTAGGCAAAAACATCAAGAATAAACGAAAGCAACATCAATATTATGTCATACTATTTTAATAAAATATAAGCCATTTTAAAGGATTTTCTTTTGTTTGAAATATGTAATATGAATTATCGACACTGAGACATCAAAATGAGCATATTTGTTCCAATTTCTCAACACTCTCGTGTCGTGACTATAAAAAATATCAATCAAACAAAAAAGTTAACGCGGCGGTTTTATTCGAACTGGTCTATTCTACAACAGCTAATGCAACATAATTATTGTCAATTACACAATTATTAGATAAAGCATTTTTTTCATTTTATGTTGCGGGTCTAATCGGCCAATTTAAATATAGAAGAGTAAACAACTATTGTTTTTAATAATGAAAATGATTTAATATTCAAAATTATCATCATTATTGCATTATGTATTTTTTTTGTGATAATATTAAATATCAAATATTTGATCAAGAATTCCGCTCCCATATTTTTTATTGTAATTGAAGTCAAAGTTACGTTACGTTAAGTTATATGATATATTGAATATTTAATTGAAAATCTTGTAACAAAAAGCACAACTCTCAAATTTTGTTAGGCGTTTAAAAATTATTAATACGATTTTGGCGTACATTCATGATAATTTTTCAAGAACAAGTTTCAAATTTTTGTCCTATAATATATTTTAAGAAAATTAGTTTGATACATATCGGGTGATTATTATTCCAAACCAAATTAATAAGCCCACATAACCAGTCCCAAGAAGCAATGTGAGATAAGCTGTGGAAAGCAAAAAGCAATAAGGGGTTGTTCTTCTCTTCTTTTTACCTGAGCTTTCTAATTTGGCAGTGTCTTTATTGGCAGTACTACTATTGTTACTCTGTTGCGAATTTTGTTGTACAGGACTCTGGATTTGAATGTTTGTCCCAGGTATAGTTATTGTAGTTCCTCCTCCTGAAGTATTATTCTGTTGCTGCTGTTGTCCGGAGTTAGTTGATGTGTTCAAACCTGGTATCGTAATATTACCTCCTGGGAAAGCTATTCCTTGAGACCCGCTTAGCGGAATCTGAATGTTGGTGCCGGGTATTGTTATGATTGCAGGGTTAGAAGCAGCTTAAAGGAAGAGAAATGCACAAAATACAGAATGACCGCATGTGTTAGTTGGTGTTAGTAAAGGGTGCAGCGGTATTTGCACACTTTTTGCTTCCTGATGTATTTGTCGTGGACTTCTAATCGATTTGCCGTGGATTTTTAATCTATTTTTTTTTTCTCTTTTAAATGATACGGTACTCCTAAAGTTATGTTAGGGAAGAAAATCACTCTGGTCTAAGATGGCTCTCAAGTCATGTATTTGATTATATTCAATATAATAGAATCAGAATCTTAAGTACGCCTTAATCAATAAAATTACAAACAGTAATTGCTATAACCAAATGACAATCCCGCGAGTAAGAATTTTCAGAATACATTGCGCGGTCATAAAGATAACAAATACATCAGAAAGTTTGATTAGAGTAGAAATACAATAAATAATATTAAGGAAAATATTAGCTGGGGTATCACCATGTACCAACATCAGTTTCTGAAATTCATTTTTTGATTGATGAAAATATTATCTACTTGTCACACCCCAACTCTAAGCTCATATTAGAATATTACTGTTTAAATTTGAATTGAACTAAATGTGAATTTTTTAAATGTGAACAACCAACGAATATTAAACACATTACATGGCTAGAATCAATAGAAGCGATAGAAATAATAGTTCAACCAAAACCAGACAATCTAATAAACCGATTACCATTTGAGTTTTATAAACGACATGAAAGAGTGTTTCGTAATCAAAACTAAAGAATCAAAATAGTTTATTTACCATTCGGTAATTGAACGGTCTGGGCAGTCATTCCTTGTAGCAAATTCGCAGGTAGCACAGTGCCTTGCGGTGTTCTAATTATTTGGCCCGCCGGTGTCAATAATGCTTGCTGACCGCCTATTTGTATCGTCTGAAAGATTGTATACGTATTTCATATTTGGTATTTATTTCAGATAAATACAAAATTTGAAATATCAAAATTGAACCATTTCAACTTCGGTGAATTGTAAATGTTAATCAAGTACAGCAGAACGAAAAAAAAAATTACAAATATAATACATAATATCAGCAATAATACCAGTGCGCTCTATTTATATATGATTCTTCGAGTAGAAGCAACCTGTTCGTATGACTTGATGGATTTTAAACCAACAACATATGCATTTTTTACGTGCGATTTAATTTCATTTCACAAATTACCTGAGCTGCATTGGCCATTGAGACGGGAATATAAATTGCTTCTTGGCCGTCTACTGTGACAGTTTGTATCGGCTGCATTACACTATAAGCTAGATTAGGAGCTCCTGAAGATAATATTTGGCCACCCTAATAACGTTAAAAAAATAACTAGATGATCATTTGAGGTAGAGGTAGATATTGAAACTAAAATTATATAAAGTTTATGCTTAATGATTCGAGAGTATTAGATGTACCTGCATGAATTGTGGTGACATCGATTGGACCTGCAGTACTTGTTGCCCCTGAGGTGTCATAAATGATTTCACTGGTGTAGTTTGTGCTTGAGCTTGGACTTGGGATGCCTCTAATTGATTCAAGCCGCCGGGCAAAAAGCTTTGTAACTGTTGTAATGTTATAACCTGAAATTTTTTATAGCATTATATATACAATACAAAAATCTTGCATACTAGATTAACGTCTTTTCTCAATAAATATAATATTTTGTTCAAGAATCAGCACGGTTTCCGAAAGAACCATTCTACTTCCCACTCGATTTATAATTTAGTTCATAACATCATTGACTCCTTCGAAGAAGCCACATATTGTACTGCAATATTTTGCGATCTGTCTAAAGCTTTTGATAGTATTTCTCATCAAAGACTTCTTGACAAATTAGAAAATTATGGTATTCGCGGACGTTCGCTCAAACGATTTGAATCTTACCTGTCTAATCGAACACAAAGCGTTTACTTAAATAACGATCACGAGCAAATAATTTCGGATAAATTGTCAAGTACATTGGGTGTGCCCCAAGTATCAATTTTAGGGCCTCTCTTATTTCTCATATATATAAATGATTTACCTTATTGTACACTTTGTGATTTTATTCTTTTTGCGGATGATACCAGCGTTTTCATCAAGGCCAAATCTCTTGATGAATTACAACATAAATTAAGCGTGGTTATGTCACAAATAGCGAAATGGTTTTGTGAAAATAATCTAGTCCTCAATAATGATAAGACCCAAATCATATCTTTTTGTACAAAAAATCGTTTATCCAATATATTACTTCTTTAACCATCAATAATTCAGCATATAATTTTTCGCAAGTATCAAAGTTTCTTGGTATCCATATTAATAATCATTTAAAATGATCTGATCATATCTCTATCTCACTATCACCAACTTTATCTAGAACATGTTTCATGTTGCGCACCCTAAAACCCAACTTGGTTTAAATTGCTTACTTTCAGTTTATTATAGCAACTTTTATTCTCACGTTTCATACGACATCCAATTCTGGGGTTTTTCATCCGAACTAATTAAAATATTTAGCTTCAGAAAAGAGCTATTCGAATAATTTTTTCCTTGCCCAGTAAAGCCTCCTGCGGACCCATATTTAAAAAACACAATATTCTAACTGTCCCATGCATTTTTCTGCTGGTAACATTAAGTTTCATCAAAAACAATTCGAAACTTTTTGATATGGCTTCGTCCTCCTCAAACTACAACACTAGACACAAACTTATTAAGGCGCTCACATATAAATTAGCCAGCTCTTTCAATACGATCGACGGTTTAGGTATTCAGCTTATGAATAAACTTCCACTCAATATGTGAAACTTAGACAGCAAAAAATTTCATGCTTCCCTAGTTAAACTTTTTAAAGAATTAGCTTTTTATGACATTACTGAATTTTCTCAATTTGATTTCAATAACTATTTTCTTGCATAATCCTTATCCTTTATCTATGTAGTCTGACCATTTGATCGCCTGTACAACCATATTTTTTTATTGCTATTTTATTAATTTAAATTTTTTACGGTTTTAAATGATTCTAACTTTCAACCTTGTGCAAGAATTTTGAGCTTGACTGGTGGTCAAATAGACTTTAATATGCTGAACTTTATGATGAACATTGTATTTAATGTTCCAATGCTTTTTTTCAGCTCTTTTTTTTCAGAAGCGAAATTCGTGCAGCTACTATGATTATTATAAAATTACTATCCTTTTAATATTACTATGAATAAGCTTGACAAGAGCCTGAAATAATATCTATTTTATTGATTACGGCTTGCTTATGAATAAATAAATAAATATATTTTCTATATATCGTTAACATTTTGTTTACAACGAAGTTTCAAAGGTTTCAAAAAGATGTCAAATAAGTAATACGAATTTCAAGAATCAGCTTATTTCGCGAAAAAAACCAAAAGAATTTTTGTTTGGTCTACGATTATCGCTGTTCAATTTGATTTGATTTGTCCGCATGCACCACAATCGGTTGTTGTCACATATGAATGTTTGTGTTGGTTAAAATTTTATATTTCTCGAACATAGGCCTGCAAGGCTTTCGAGAGACCTTCAATCGCTCTCACTGCGCTGTTCTGCATATCCTTAATTTTGGTTACATCCGGAGACTCCTGGCTAATAAATGACTATGGAAAATAGCAAAGTAGGTTTCTCTGGCACACTTCTAATTTATTATTGTAAGAGTCAGTGGCGGATCCAGGGAGAGGTCATGACCCCCCCCCCTGAGTTTGACTTAAGACTTACATAGAACACAAATTCAGCAATAAAAATTTTTCATAATGATTTTATTTATGTATTTTGTTACCAAACACATTCTATAAATTCAATATGTAACTTATTATAGACAAACGGCGGAGTCAAAGGCTCCTAAAATTTAAAGATTTTTTAACCGTATTGCGAATATATGTTCTATACATAATTTAATTATGTGACTCCCTCCTGGCGCCAAAACTAGATCCGCCAATGGCAAGAGTCGGCACATAGAAAAGCAATATGGAAAAATGGAAGCCTGATACAAGTACTGAATGATGCGAATTACATTACTTGTGGCACCCAGTTATTATAACAAATCGCTACATATTAATTTAATATTAGAAGCAAAAGTATTCTATGAAATTTAGAAAAATCCATCTATCAAACTAGAAAATGAGATTACATTATTCGAGTTTATTAAGAGTAATTTAGTTGACCGGTTCAAAATGAAATATAAATATAATTATATCAACTATAATTTCAGGAATAGACCAAAAAGTTATGCAATTGATAGATTTGAAAAAAATTATTTCAACAAAATGTTATTTGAAATGGCAAATTTAATTTAATGTCGTCGTTTCTTAGTAATCCTCTGTTATCTTTAAGAACAAAAATTAGGTAGCAATATATACTTATCTATGCCTACATACTTCAGATAGTAAGGAAATCTAGGCAGGCGTGTGCCAAGTTAGTTCATCATATAATAATAGCTTTAAAGCAAATTGTTGCAACCTCCGGATTTCTAAATAATTTCTATATTACAGTTACAATATTGTGTTTATAATATAAATTATAAGGAGGACATAAGATGATGCTGTGGGTTTATTTAATAAAATATTGCCATTGATTTTAAAATTGCTGTTTTCATTTAGAATTATTAGAACAATTTAAAGAAATAATTATTTTAAAATTTGTCAATTTTCTTCGTGAAAAAAATAGAATTAGAAGTACAAAGTAAGGTAAAATAAACCAATGTATTTGAAATTAAAAAAAAAATGAAATGCTTGAACTTTTTGGAATCCTGAATATTATAAAAATCAATTTTAGTCCGATAGTGAAAGTAATATAAATTGATAGCATGTTCAAATTGTTTTCATGGTGCGGTTCGTAACGATAAATCCAGGCACGTTTTGAATATCCAAAATAAAAAAAAAATCCATTTGAAAAGTTAATTCCTTTGTTTAAAGTATAGAGCGTTTTGAACATTTTCAATGTTGGTAGAAATTTAATAATACATATTATTGCAATCTCTTGAATGTTTCATAATGATCATTTTTGATCAGCAAATGACTTGATCAATCAAAAAACTATTAGCCTCTTTCAAAGAGTCTGTACAAAATTTTTTCTACTTTTCGGTTGATCGATCGCACTATGACTTATGAAAATTAAAGTACATAACATTGTAAACCAACATTGTTTTCAATCATTTTAATTGTGAATAATTGAAATATTTTCTTATCACTGAATCTTATCTTCATTTCATTAGTAATGCATAATTAAAACACTGTACTCTGCATTCGAATCGTAATAAATAATTTTGATTGTAAGCATTAATACATAACGCGAATTTCTCGTTCAATTTCAAGATATAAATTTCTTTAATTTTCTAACCATGTTTATCTAAATTATTCAAACATTACCATTGTGAGTAGAAGATATGTTATGCAAACATGAGATAAGTGACTTCTCGCGATTATTGCAACCACGCGACACATACGCTTTATATTGCACAGTGTAAAGGAAATTAATGCGATAACATAATCATTAATTGGTAACAGTTATAAAATTCGTTACTAACTTTTTTTAATCGGGCTTTAGTTCGGGTTTAAACATACTATGACCCCTTTTGATCCTAAGATAGCTAGATTGTTCGGACTGTTTATGATTTTTAACGTGTGATATAATAAAATATATATACAATTACAAGAAAATAACAGTTGAAGTAACCAAGCCCTTTTCTCACTTGACGGCCTTTTCTAGATTATAGATGTTCTTGGATCTGAGGACAATGAGCGGACAATTGATTTTTCTGATTGCATGAAAATTATTTTTTTATAAAAACATGTTTATTTGAACTTGTACATGAATATAGGGGTAGCCATAATACATTTTTAATAGAAGTAGTTGGTAATATCTTGTCAAGAATAACATTTATTATTACGAATAATTAGTAAAATTTTCCAATAATTATTGTAGCTAAGATCCTCGCTCAATATAAGGCATATATGAGGGGCCGTCCATCAATTACTTGGGGCCTCAAAGGAGGGGGTTGACTGAAAATCATAAAATATCACAAGGGAAAAGGTTTTTCAAGATATCGCGTGTATTTATTTTTTACCTGAGATTTTTCGTATGTGCTAAAAATACATGTGATGTTTGGTGGAGGAGAGGAATTTTAAATTTCTCTCTTGGAAAAACCAAGAGGAAGAGAGGGACGGTTAAAAAATGTTTGAAAAAAAATTATTATTTCAAACTGGAGTAACTAAATATCGCGTCAAATTCATGATTTGCTGGTGATGAAAGGGCTTTTCGCACCGTGTAACAGTTATTTACAGTTACTAACTGGCATAATTCAAAGTGCGCTTGCACAAGAGAGACACAATCAAATGATAACATTCAACGTTGCTATTCGAATTTCAATTGCATTCTATTCATCAAATGAATTGTTGCATAAATATAAAATATAAACAATAAATATAAATTAATAACATTTGATATAAAAGTCTTGCATCCAACTGTGGCGTGATGTATGTCTTATCCGTTCGGTGAACGACCTTGTATGCTAGAACGAATTATAAAAGTTATTGAATGTGAATGGAAAGCATTTGTTCAAGAGTATATGTACATTATAGTTCGATACGTTGCGCTGGTTAGTTAGTGAGAGTGCTGGAGCAGCCAATCGATAGAGGTTGTCCGGATTTCGTGCGAGGTTAACCTAAATATTCCGACAATGAACGGTAAAACAGGTATGTTGCGTAAAAAAATTGTTAGCATTGGCGAATAATGGTCAATAATTACAATAATTGGCAATTCTAATTGCGTTATTTTGCTCTACCATCTACTGTGTCTGCTCGGCATCAATGACTCTATTGTATTCTTGCCACTCGTGTTGCAGTGTTATGGTTTAGGTGTTATTTTATTTTGTTTAGTTTGTATTTTATAAAATACATAGTGAGTATTCGGTGGCATCTTTCATTGTTTTAATTATAAATTTATATATAAATTATGTGTGTGTGATATGTATAAATTTACTTGTGTTCGTTCATAAATTACTTTCGTTCGTAACATGGTAACCAAAAAGAATAACTAAAAACATTCACATAGTAATTTCACTCTTAATATTGTTTCTGGCCGTTTTGTAGCGATTACTCATTTCCTATTGTAATTTTATCAAAATAAACGTACACGATCGTTAACAACTGAAATAAAAGTATCTATTATGGAAATGAAAACTATTTTTATAAAATGTATTAATTAATAAAAAAATCTATTAATGTTCAAGGAATGACTTGCAATTCTATATCATTAATATATAGTCACGTATACTGCAGTATAATTTGAACATTGAAGTATATAATATTTCTTGGTCAAAATAATATATGCTTTTTATGCTTAATTATCAAAATAAATTATCGCATTGAGCCCTTTTATTATAATCTACGATATCATATTAAGAATCTATGATATCATATTAGGAAGTTATTTAGATCGTATCTGATTGCATTTAAGCAAAAACACGAATTATTATATGCAATATTAATTTCGCCGTATTGTAAAGGATATTACAATTTCGCTAACATTTGGTTTGCAATAACCCTTTAGATCATCTAAAGTCGATGGTTTAATCATCTCCCTAATATGCATGTAATGATAATAAAATCAACCTACTTGAAATAACAAATCTATTATTATTGGGTAACATTGTTTTATAGAGACGCTGCTATACGGAATAGTGAGTCGCCTAGTAGCGCTACTGAATGGACCCCGGCATAACATATTTTAAGATTTTTCATTCTTTCTCAATAAAAATGTATTTAAAAATGAAAAACTACATTTCTGAAGATCTCAATAGCTTGTGTCAGAATTATCAATAGACTCACAGTGATAAATCTTTAAGCAAGGATCGACATACTACATGTCGCTTAAAGGCGACACTCGTACACACAGGTAGTCCTGTGAATGTCGCCTATAGCGACTCTCGAAGCGGAGGGATGAGTCAAGTACATTTTAAGGACGGATTTTTTTGCATTAATAATGTGTTTTGCATTAATTATAATTTGCATTAATAATGTGTTATGTCATAACATTAAATGTTGTAATTTCAGAAAATGGTGTGCAGCAGAGTTTAGCATTGATAAGGAACTCTCTGAAATCGAGTAGGATGGAGTTGGAAGGCACACATTTTGACGGAAGCCATCCGCATGTATTTGTGGTATTTGGAGCATCTGTAAGATTTTTTTCATTATTTTTTATGAAAATGGGACTTTTGATTTAATACTGTCATTTATTGCACGTTATAGGGTGATCTAGCGAAGAAGAAAATATATCCGACGCTATGGTGGCTCTTCAGAGATAACCTGATTCCGGAGAAAACTGTATTCTATGGTTATGCCAGAAGTAAAATGATGATTTCCGAGTTAAGAGAGAAATGTTACCAATATATGAAGGTTTTATTTGATATTTTCTCATATATTTATTTACTTTATATTTTTAAAATTATCTATTAATTCAGGTAAAACCGGAGGAACAAGCGAGGTATGAACAATTCTGGAAAGCGAATTTTTATATTTCTGGCAATTATGATTCGCGAAGAGATTTCGAATTGCTTAATCAAGAACTAAGCAAGCATGAAGCAGGTCCTTACGGTAACAGATTATTCTATCTTGCCCTGCCGCCATCAGTTTTCGAAGAAGTTACAGTACATATACGAAATACCTGTATGGGAGAAAAGTAAGTTCCCTTTGTTTCACACATAAGTTTTGCATCGATAAGATAAAATTCTAAACCATTGTTGCTATATACCATGTAGAATATAAGTCGACGTTTTATAATAAAAAAATATTTATGATGAACTCATTATGGGTAATTAGTAATCAAGTGTTTGGTTATAATTAGGCCTTCACATATTGATTTTAGTGCACATAACAGTCAGTAAATGTAAATCAATATAACATTATTGAGAACAATTTATAGTGCATAAAAATCCTTAAATTCGTTTTAATTTTAAAAATACAGGACTTTATATAATCATTTTTGTTTGAATTATTTAAGTTTTAATCGTTTAATAGTTTTTGGGTCTTGATAGCAATGGTAATGTTCTCCATTTTTATTGACAGTATTGGTATTTTTAAAGCATTTACAATGGATTTTTTTTTTTATAAATTAGAGGCTGGAATAGAATTATCATAGAGAAGCCATTTGGAAGAGATGCAGAGAGTTCCAAAAAACTGTGTGAACATTTAAGAAGTTTGTTCAACGAAGAACAATTATACCGTATAGATCACTACTTAGGAAAAGAAATGGTACAAAATCTGATGGCCTTGAGGTATAATTTACATACAGTTTATTATTTTAATACTTCATAAAATAAATAATTCTTAATTTTTCACAGGTTCAGCAACCGCATCTTTAGTCCGACTTGGAATAGAGATAATGTGGCATCAGTATTAATCACATTTAAGGAACCATTTGGCACTCAAGGTAGAGGTGGTTATTTTGATAATTTTGGCATTATTCGTGATGTTATGCAAAATCATTTGTTACAAATTTTATCTCTTATGGCTATGGAAAAACCTGCTTCGGTACACCCAGATGATATTAGAAATGAAAAAGTAATTTTTTTCACCAAACTGTATACATATTAATTTAAATATTTCATCATTTTCATAAAAACGTGTATGTTCAGGTGAAAGTGCTTCGATGTATAGATGCGATAGACTTGAAAGATGTAGTATTGGGACAGTACATTGGAGACGAAAATGGAGAAGGAGACGCGAAATTAGGATACTTGGATGACCCAACGGTTCCCAAAAACTCAAACACTCCTACTTACGCCTTGGCTGTAATGTACATAAAAAATGAAAGATGGGATGGTGTACCATTTATATTGAAATGCGGAAAAGGTAATATTAAGTTTCAAAATGTTGATGTAGTAGGATTTTATTATTTCTTTTACTATGATGTATGTAGTATAGAATGTTGTTTTACAAGAAGGTTTACATAAAAAGCATAAAACCCCGAGTAAAAATCGGGCTGATAGATCAAATTTACGTGCCGGCGACGAGTGTCACTGCCGTTCGTTCTCGATGTGTCAATGAAGTTGAAGACTATATAGGAGATTTGCCAGTTAAACTCTGCTACTGAAATCGGTGTCGCTGAATACCATTTAGATTTTTTTTTTGATAATTACCTGCATATCAAAATAATTTTCCTGCCTTTAATACAGAATGGAGTTAAAAATACAGATGTAAAAGATTTTTTCTCAACTTTGTTAAAGTCAAGAACTAAATAATTATAGTAAAATGCTACGTAAATATCATACGTATCTGCGCCATAATGTAGAGCCAATTTATCCATTAATTGTAATCCATTTTTGAAGACTAGTCAATGAAGATGGATCAAATTCTTTTTTTAACCTCCTTAAAAATATTAATGAAAAAGAGATATAATTGTTAAAATTATTTATAAATGTCTAAAAAACATTTTTTGAATTTCTTATAAAATTATCTTCATTACATTCATTATAAAGGTTTTTGAAAAGCAAATGAATTTCAACTACAATTATCGATTCCGCAAGCCTTCGAAATACGATCATTCGAATATCAATAATTAAGCTAATTAATTGTGCATAATTATCTTTTAGCGCTTAATGAACGTAAAGCCGAAGTGCGAATTCAATACCAAGATGTTCCTGGTGACATTTTTAATGGCAAACCAAAAAGAAATGAACTGGTGATAAGAGTTCAACCTGGCGAAGCTGTATATTTGAAGATGATGACTAAGACACCAGGAATAACATTTGACATGGAAGAAACAGAAATGGATTTGACTTATGGCAACAGATACAAAGTAAGGCAATTTGAATTGTATTTACTAATTTATAATATATAACAAAATAAGCGTTTTTTTCTGGTTTAGGAAGTAAAGCTGCCTGATGCTTATGAGCGGCTCATATTAGATGTTTTTATAGGATCTCAAATGCACTTTGTGAGGTCTGATGAACTTACAGAAGCTTGGAGAATATTCACACCAATCTTGCACAAAATCGAAAATGAGAAGGTAAGACCCATACCTTACAAATATGGATCTAGAGGTCCCAAAGAAGCTGATGAGAAAAGCAAATCATGCAACTTTAAGTACTATGGTTCATATAAGTGGAAACAACAAAACTGACTTTTTCTTAGAAATTTTTAAAAAATTATTAGTTGTATTTGGTTGTGGTGTTACCATTTATTTATAAGTACAAATAACAGCTTTTCCAATTCATTATTTATTTAATACCTTTTGAGGTAAATGGAATAAAATGAAATTTTAAACTCTGATTCAATAGTAACAATAAGATATTTATTATAAAATAATCTCCATATCATAAATTGTCAAAATTCTTAAAGCTTTAATTGTTCATAAAACTCTCTAGCTGTGATTAAATCGTTGCTGATGCTGGATTTCATATCTATATACTAAAATTAAGCTCGAATCCTTTATACTCATATTAGAATAAGAAGTTTGAAACTTTCAATTTACACTTTTATATGTACAAAAAATAAACTCCACACGTTTTTTCAACTAATATGTTTTTAATAAATAAGCATTTCTACAATTATATATATATAAATATGTGTGTGTGTATGTGTGTGTCAATTTTATGCAAACATAAGAAAATATTTAGTTATATACTGCAAATGTGTACACGGTGTACACATTTGTGGGACAGCATTTTATGTGAACAACATAAGTAAACATGGGCAAAATACCCGTATTTTTAGAATCTCAAAGAAAAGTGATAGTTAAATGCTCATTAAAATTTCGCTTTACATTTCTTCAAGTGAAAATAATCTACCTCAATATTTGATATTATGCTATTGATTCATTTTTTTCAATTCTAATGCGGTTAGGGGGCGTCCATTAATCACGTGAGGCTTTTAGGGAGAGGGGGATTTGACAAAAAATCATAAAATATCACGTGGGGGAGGGAGGGGTCTAGTAAGATATCACGTGTATTTATTTTTTACCTGAATTTAAAAAAAAATACGATTTTTTACGTGGAGGGGGGGTAATTTTGAATATCGCGACGTATCACCAACGGGGTGGGGGTTTCCAAAATCCCTAAAAAATCGATCACGTGATTAATGGACGCCCCTCCCCCATGTGATGATAATACCAGTGATTGACTAAGTTTTTAGAACATATTACTGTGATTTAAATTAAAAAAAATGTAATGAATAAGTTTCAAAATAATTGATATTTATACAAAATATAAAGATAATAAATGTAAAAACAAAACATATATATATAACCTTAATTTTTAATTAAAGATGTCAAAAATGTATTAAATAAAATGTTCATTTGCAAGAGAGCGCGGCAAGGGCTGCTCGTAAGGGCTTTTGGGACATTAACCCCTTAATCGGACCAGAAGCAAATACTATGCATTACGGTGATCGCTTTCAAAATCGATTACAAAATATTTATTTATACAAAACTCTAAAATACAAAATTATTTTTATTTTTGGGATAAACTGTAGGCTGTGTGGCAACAAAATGGTCACGAAATCTGCGCCAGCTTTTACAACTTCGGCCCGATATTTTCGAATCTAAATCGGTTAAGGGGCTAAAGCGGTGCACAATTCAGATTTATCATTACAATAAGGAGCAAACGTTTTCTTTCGTAAACGTTTGCTTTAAAACCTTCTGTAAATGAATTTATCTTATTGTTAGTGCAAGAAAACTATGAATCATAAAAATAATCTTAATTGATTTATGGCGCGAAATTACGTATTAAATTCAAATACTGGTGTTGAGAACAAAGTATTTTGAATGCAAAATCGTTATCTGTAGCAGATGTTATTTAGTAGCATGTTGTTTATTACATACTTTATTTTAATTTAATTTGATAAAGGCAAATATTTAGTAGCATTCAGTGCATGCCATTAAAGAAATATTACCTGTGGTTGTTGTTGCTGTTGAGTATTTTGTTGATTTTGCTGATTCTGCGACGTCATGATTGAAATGTTCTGCTCGGATGACTGAAAATAAAGTTTTTACGTTAATATCTAATTCATTATTAAGAAATTTGATTTGTGTTTAATAACAATGTTGATTTCCTATTTTTAGCATTACAGCCTTTATGATATCAGCAGTTATATAAAATTTTGTGTATTAAGAATAACTTTGATTTATATGATGTTTTTTATGAGAGGTGAGAAATAAAATTAGTCAAATTTATAAAATTGGTTGCAGAAAGTTTTTCAAATGCTATTCAATTTGAATTACTTTTTCCATTTTACTCATTTTAAAACTGATAATAGCTCCACAATATAAAAATTAAACATTAAGGAAAGCATTGATGTTATGATGACTACTTAAAAGTTAAATCTGTGATGCGGGGGGTTGCTTAATACTTTCCATGTTTTAGATATATTCATCATTACTATAAATTTTTAAATTTCTTAACTACTTAGAGAAATAAATGTTAATATAACGGGAAAAAATTGAAACAGATGGCGTTTTTATTATATTTAGTAGAATTTTCTTATTTGTAAAATTCACGTGACTCATTCTATTTTAACATATCCATTCCACCGTTATCCTTACCGAATTTGAATTAAAGTGCCCTGTCTTTTGGGCATGATTGGGCCTTTGAAAGTTATTAGGCTAGCAACGAATATTCAGTACTATTCGGTATTCGGCATCTTTTTTCGTATTCGGTCGAATGCCGAATAGTTAATTTAAAAGAAGACACCGCATCTCCTCAGCAGAAATATTGTTTGTTTTATCTTTTTATGCGATAAAGGGCGGCGATTGATTGGTATTTAGAAGTCTTTAGTTTATATAATATATGATAAGAAATGAATTTGTTATTGTATATATAATATTTTAAACTTTATCGACTTTTGAGATTATAAACAAACATGTGAAGAACTTTTCTGAATATTCAAAGAATGCGTTATTGTTGTATGTTTATGTTATTTAATATGAATCATTCAAAGGTTACACGTATGTGTTTTATATATATATACTCAGGGCCGGTCCTGCCTTGCATGCGATGCATGCAAAAAATGCGGGCGCACGCCTTAGGGGGCGCGCCAAAACGAGTTTCGGAAATTAAATTTATAATATATTATTTATATTTTTTATTATTTATATAAAATCTAGAATATTTAATGAATTATAATAAAAAATCTAACTTAACTATGAATACGGAGACACGAAAAGCGTATTTATTTGGCAATGTGATATCAGTAGAAACGATTAAATGATTAATAATAACAGCTGAAAATTAGTAAATAACATCTCTATTTATTGCTTAATCTACATATTCAATTTTCCTCTGTTTGAAGTTACCGTGAAGTCGAAAAACAAAATATCTTGTTCAATCTCATAATCTCATAAGCGCAAACCAGCGAAAAATTAAATTAACTATTGGACATTATTGACGAAAAATTGCGAACTGATTTAGTTGAAATGGAACTTGTTAAAAAATATAAACAAATTATAATCGGGGAAATGAAAAATGGGGACTCAGTGATTAGAAAATGGCATGTTTATTTCGAGAAATTGAATTGTAACTTTGTTTTTGTTGCCACATCTGATGAACTTTGAACGTTGAAGATATGCGTGGTTAGGGTTATGGATATGGAACTATAATTTAATAATAATGAACTATAATTAATTGGAATAATTTAATTTTTATTAACTATGCAGAAATAATATATATCAAATATAATTAGTTTTTTCTTTCAATATAATTCGAGAAATGTTTAATTTCTTTGCATTTTTTACTGATTTTTTGAAAATGCTTCTAAAATACATTGAATATTTAACTTTAACCCTTGCGACTAGAATGCCGCCGCTCCGGCGACAAAATTCACATAAATCTTGCAATTCGCGAGTGGAAAGGGTTAAAACAACAATCTGATACTCTGAATATGAGGGAAAAACAAGGATGAATACAATTCGGCTCTTACGATATCAATAAGGAGAAGTTTACGACGAAATTTTGGATATTGTAAATACATAATGAAAAATTAAAATGAATTAAAATTTGAAAAATCCAACATGAAATACGAGTGAAAATGAAAAGCTAGTTTTTTTAGCTCTCTTGACATGATTTGCTCAATAGAATAAATTGCATCATGAATAAGTATAATGTTTCAAAACCCAAATATTAATATGGCACATACGTTAAAAATATTTGAAAATTTAAAAATATTTGATTATAATCAATCCGCGAATCGTCTCGATTTTCTAAATAAATTTAAAATCAATGTATTATTTTATACGCTTTTAGATTATATCTAATTTTTTGTGTACAAAATCTAGAACAATTGAGAATAAAATTTAAAAAAAAAAAATATTTATATAATTTTAATGATAAACTGTTAAAACAGTTAAAATTAATAGGGGGGGGCGCTAGAAAAAAAGTTGCATGCGGGCGCTAAGGGCTCCAGGACCGGCCCTGTATATACTCGTATATATATATATATATATATATATATATATATATATATATATATATACAAAAAGTCATTCATTATATTCAATCTAAGCATTTCTAAACAAAGAGCTATCATAGGTTTTTTATAGCACAAAATAAAAATACATAATATTTTAATCTTGAGATGATGTGGTTAAATACAGTTTATCGTTCTCTCCTAGTTTTTATGTATTTTAATAGACCTACTATTAGTGTGAAATTTAATAAATAAACAGATAATTACCTACGGGCTTTAAAAACAATAAATTCATTATGGACTCTAAAAATAAATCGCCGATATGTTATTTAAGTATTCGGTATTCGGCCGAATAGTGTAAATGGTGCTGCATATTCCAAATAACAAAGAGTAACCGAATAGTCATTGGAGCCTAGGCATAAAACTTGAATGAACATGTAATTCGTTAGTAATAATAAAAATATCAATAACATATATAAAATAATAATAAAAACAGAGGAAAACATTTCTGCCCCGTTTTTTTTTTTTTAACTTCCCGTAGGGCAAGTTATAGTAATCGCAAAAAAATCAAAAATGAAAATTTTTATATATCTTTACGTTTCAGAGGTTTCTGAACATTTTGGCATACCTTAGAAAAAATGGATGTATGTGTGTGTGTGTGTATGTGTGTGTGTATGTATGTGCGGATACAAATTTTCGTCGACGATTTCGGGAACACGGATCAACCGATTTGAATAATTCAAAAAACATTCGATTCGTATTGAAAAGGAGACGTGCTGATTAGTTTTTGGCGAAGGCAGGTCTAGCCGTTCCAAAGATACGGGGCAAAAAGTGCCGAAAACGGTAACTCAGTTTTTAAGAGAACGAAGCGTCCGATTTGAATAATTCAAAAAACATTTTACTTGTATTGACAAGATGAAGAATCGATAAAATTTTCATGAAGGTAGGTCTAGCGGTTTCGGAGATATGGAGGAAAAAGTAAAAAAAATGAGCCATTTGGCGGTCAAAAATGATCATTAGACATATGCACATCAAATTATCAGATATTTTATAGAGATTTTAACAATAAATATAATTTTGGTTTACATTCCTATGGGTTCCGTACCAATGTTTACGCGTTAGACGTCGACGCGGCGCTTACGCGGTTTGATATTTCGTCTTTATGCAGTTAAAGCAGTACGATTGCTTTGAAAAGAAAGTTCAGATCTTCCACAATATGTCAAAAAAAAGAAAAAAAATTTTTTTTTCAAAAAAAAAAATTAAAATTTTTTTTTTTTTTTTTTAAATTTTTTTTCAAAAAAAAGTAATTTTTTGTCCAATTTATAGTTTCTCAAAAATCTTATTTTTTCGAAGTGAAATTTTTTCAAAAATGTTAAAAAAATAATAATTTTTGGTACGGGAAGTTCCAGCAATTTGCCTTAAGGCACGATGCCTTAATTGCCTTAAGACAGAATTCCACTTACAGCTAGTTTTTTTTTTGAACATGGCCGCGGTAGAGGTAAAAACTAGTTGCTTCTACTACTATGCTGATAATGTGGGGATAGTTTTAGTAAATGTGGCAATATCGGCGATGTGGCGACAGCCGCACTCAACGTGTATTATTAATTAACAAACACTACGGAAATTGTAATGAAACGATTTACTTTTAATATTTCTTTTAATATTCACTTTTAATATTTCTTATTAAACGAATAGTATTTTTTCTATAATGTGGTGTTACGACATTGATAACATGTATGATAGAATTAATACTATTCATACTTATCTAAAATCAAGTATTAAAATAAATATGCAAAGTATTATAATTGTTATTGTCTAGAATTTAAATATTTTGATAATAAGTAAATTAGGAAAACATAAATAAAAAAAAACTGATTTTCTCCTACTCCATGAGCCTATCGAAGCTATCGTAGATCGTGACCTCCTCAGGAGGTCAGTCCACCTTCAATAAGCTCGTTATATTATTGTGGGGGAACTTCGAGTCATCCTGGCATGCTCAGTTCTATTAATGAGTGAAATATTTGCAAGTTGAACGTGACCGTCACGCCTACAAAATTGGTGGAATAAGTCGGCGCCTATTTCTTGCACTATACACAATCAACAGCAGCTTAGGTGGGGAGTCCGCGCATCTGCACGGAACATCTGTCCGTAACCGTAACGATTATCGATTAATAAACACATCATTAATGCGATTTGCATTTGACAAGTATCGAAACTTTTGTTGCACGTAATTAATAATTACATATGCAACATCTAATTATAGTTTACGCTACAACTGTAAAGTTTGTTGATTTAAGGGTCACGATCGTTGTCACAAATAATATTTACTAATTAAATAAAACAAATATTAAATAAAAACGCTAATTTTAAGTTGAAGTATTATTAGCAGATTTGAAATAAAAATTAAGAATTTTGATTATTGGAACCTGTTATCACAGACACGCCTATGAGACATAACGCCACTGGCCGCGAAAGCGACAAAGGGAGGGCTTTAGAACATACGCCTTCTCATATTAAAAACCATCTCTAAAATTACTATATCACACCCTAGGCACTAAACCAACTACAATAAACCAACTTTATCAGAACACTACTAAATTTACTTAATTCTAAGTGCTACACTACAATTCTTACTTGTACGATTTGTTCATTAGGTAAAAATTCCACTTTTGGTTTGACTTCTTCCATTTTCTCACGCATATCCTGTTGTTAATACTATCTAAAACACATGTCGTATATACCACAATTTTGATTTTTTTTTAACTTTCATTTAACTAGTCATTATTTAAATACAGCCTGAATATAATATATAAAATCACAATATACACGTTAACACAATATGACACTATAATTTGTGTCTACTCTACACACAATGCATGCCCGACGGTACGTATGACGAACGAGAAGGCTTATGTATTCCCCCGCGGAGAAGTTTGTTATTCCATTGAAATTCGGCATATAGTAATAGGTGAGCGCACATGACTTATTATTTTACTCAAATAAATTAATATTACTTCATTTATCTACAACAAGGATATGACAGAACACGACATTTAAACTGTTAAGAGAGAGCTAGCTATACATGATCGAATTACATTTCTACGCGCAAGCAGAGTCAGAAATATAGTTCTCTCTCTCAAATGACACAAAATGTGTGCGATTTCAAGTAGAAATAGAGTTCTATGTCTCTAGGAGCGATGTGATTAAATTCAAATGCAATGTTAAATTGAATACTACAATATTATTTCATTTTAATCTATGTGTACATTTCATTCATAATATAATTTTTGAATTTTTTAAATTTAGCGTGTAAGTTACTTTTTGCAATACCCATCAATGGCGGCGTTAAGCAAAATACAATTTCTATTTTCTTAAAATAACATTAAGTCAGGAAATCTTTCAATTTATTTTTGCCTGTACCAACTTGTTGATGAGCAGATTCTCTCACACAAAGTTGGGAGAGATTTGGGCGGTTTTTTATTCACCCTCAAACTGCACATTCAGACCTCCCACTTTCTTCGATAGCCACTCCTCTGCCATTGTTTCGATTGTTAATAATACTATAATTTATAGCATCTTTTGAAAATTGTAACTATGATCTATAATATAGAGTGAAAATATATGATTAAATATTAGCTTTTTATTATGTATTTATTAAAATTAAGGAAAAATATAATTATGCCGGTAATTTTTTTTTTAGCGATTTTGATATGAAAATAATTGAACTCTTCTAATAATCAAGTTTAGCTTACCTGATTAACATAAATATTTTTGATATGAAATTTATTGCGGCCATAGAATGTAACAGAGACTATCAAATATGTAGTTCAAAAAAGGCGCGTAAACGCGTAACGTCACTGATGTGAAGTTGTCTGTATATTTTGTTTCATTAGTTATGTCTACAGGGTCTATGTCTTTATGTTGTCACAGTGATCCTCTCTGTGTTTTGGCTGCTTAATGCCGGTTCTTTGCCGTTCACGAAGATCATTGTTTGATACATAATTATTTTATTTGGTTGAAGAAGCTGTGCAGTGTTGTGAATTGAATTTAAGGAAATAATATGTAAGAGCAGTTTACAATTAGTATTTTTATTATCTGTGCACGGTTAGTCTTTTTATAACTAGTATGTTTAATCGATTCAAGATCCATTTATTTCAAACACGTTTTTTTATTTAAAACGCGGGATTAAATTTAGAGCGGTATAGAATTAGATTGATTTTGTTTTCATGCAAATTATTTTGTTTTAGTTTAATACATTTTTAAAATGGACACAATGGAAGTTACGAATACCGACTTAAATAATAAAAATGATGAATGCATAAAAAAAGACAAAGTCGATAACGTCCCTGCCGAGGAGATGACATCGCGGGATTATTACTTCGATTCATACGCACACTTTGGAATTCACGAGGAAATGTTAAAAGATGAAGTTAGGACGTTATCCTATCGAAATTCAATGTATCACAATAAGCATCTATTCAAGGGCAAGGTAGTATTTTATTCCTATTCAGTAGTGCTAATGCTATTGCTTTTTACTAAATTATATTTTTTCCTAGGTGGTTTTAGACATTGGCTGTGGAACTGGAATTCTCTCAATGTTTGCGGCAAAAGCAGGAGCGAGTAAAGTCATCGCTATTGAATGTTCAAATATCGTTGAATATGCACAAAAAATCGTTGATGCCAATAATTTGTCTCATATTGTTACAATAGTTAAAGGCAAAGTTGAGGAAGTTAGTCTACCCGATGAAATTGAAAAAGTCGATATCATCATCTCCGAGTGGATGGGGTTTGTATATTGTTTTTTGCTATTACATATATGTGAATATTCATAATTTAGTACTTAGTACATAATTTTTGGTTAATTGTATTAATTTTTTTCATTAATGTCCATCTAGATATTTGTTTCATGTGTTCATAAGCATTAATTTATTTCAGATACTGCCTGTTCTATGAATCAATGTTAGATACTGTTTTACATGCTCGTGATAAGTGGCTCAAACCCGACGGTATGTTATTCCCAGATAAATGCACTCTATATGTAACAGGTATAGAAGACAGACAATACAAAGATGAAAAAATCAATTGGTGGGATGATGTTTACGGTTTCGATATGAGCTCTATTCGAAAAGTTGCAATTAGTGAACCTTTAGTTGATGTTGTTGATCCAAAACAGGTATAATACCTACATTTAATATTGTATTGTATATAATGCAAGTTAATAGATTTAATTACCCTATAATATTCAATAATTTAATTTAATTACCCTATAATATTTTATTTATGTACAAGTTTATGTATTTCAGTTGAAGTCTGATTAACAATTTTCAATGCATAAATTGTTTACATCTGTATATTTAAACATGCTTAAGTCGAACAAAACTAGTTAAAAAAATGTGTATATGTATAGCTGTCTCAGTGTTATTGATAGTAATGAATTTCTTTTTTAGGTTGTTACAAATGCTTGCCTGCTGAAGGAGGTTGATTTATACACAGTTAAGAAAGAGGATTTAGATTTTACTGCATCATTTGTCCTGCAAGTTCGAAGAAATGATTTTGTTCAGGCTTTGGTTACTTATTTTAATGTGGAATTCACAAAATGCCACAAACGGTTAGGTTTTAGTACTGCTCCAGAAGCACCATACACACATTGGAAACAAACTGTATTTTATTTTGATGATTACATGACGGTGAAGAAGAATGAAGAAATTTATGGAGTTTTTCAGATGAAGCCAAATGCTAGGAATAATCGTGACTTGGATTTCAGCATAAAGTTAGACTTTAATGGTGAATTATGCCAAGTGCACGAAGAAAATCACTATAGAATGCGCTAAGCTTTATTTTTATATAAATTCCTAATAAGGTTTTATACAATGTATTAAGAATAACATATGATTTACATCAATCTCTTTGCTATTTAAGGACGAGTTTCATTAGTCTCTCGGCTTTGAAATTCAAATTTTACTCAAAATTGTATATGTTACTGATAAGTAAATGTATTTAATTTAATAAAATTTTCAATTAAGCTAAGTACTGTTCTTATTTCTGTGTGAAATAAAAATTTCAGCAATTACAAAGCTATTTAAAAAAATAGTAATAAATAATAAATGGTTAACATATATTAATTTAGTAACAATATTAAATGCAATAAGCTGCATTTAGACAAGTATTTTTTATAGAACAGCATTAATTTCCAGTTTTTGTGAAAAAAAATGACTAGTTTATGTTTCAATTTATTCTGAATTTTAAAAATTTGTATGTGAGCTGGTTTTCGGCCTTTTGTCAACAATCTGTCTTCAATTGATTTTAAAAATTTAAAAAATGGTTCAAAAGATATTGATTGGGAATCGCGTTGATTAGTTTCTTCATGAATAACTGTTGAAAAAAAAATGATGGTTTTGATAAAACTTTGTATTGTGATAAATTTTAGTCTGAAATAATATACTAAAATATTATAAGCCTACAATAAATGGTTGATAAATTAAAATTCGCTAAAGTTTCGTGTATATGTAGGTTTTGTGTACCGTGTATAGCTAATGATTACAGCTGACGCCCCCATTTAAATAAAATAAATCTTTAAAACCTGAAATGAATGAAATAAAATGTTTGAAAAATTAATTTTATTTATATAATTAGAGATATTATAAGTATGTTTGCAATACATTAATTGAAAAACGCATTGATTAATTTTTAGTGAAATCAAAAATTTTATTTTCGAAATAAACAGTTGAACATTTTACCTAAATAGTTGAATCAATCTTAAATCTTATTGATTTAGGCAGAATGCGACTACAACTGGGTTCATTTTTAATTTTTAATTCTGCAGTTAAAATCTACTATAGTACAAATATATTATATTGTCTTGTCTAGGATATATATAGTAATAGTATTTATTTTGGTTGAGTAGTCATTCGAAAGATTAGGCCAAATAGCATTCAGATTTTGAGGTTATGCTAGATTTAAGACAGCGGTGAGTGAAGGTTCTTTCAATGCATTATATTGCTTTCGAGGCAATTAATATTTAACAGTGGTGATAGATAATGAATTATTTTCATAATATTGTTCGCAAAATTGCATTATCTAATAAATTCAACTGATAGTTTCATATTTTAGGTTATTTCACCTTAGGATTTAATTGGTTCACAAAATATTGACAGGTTACTGTAATATTGTGTTGATTTTTATATTTTTATAAATATAAATAACATTAACAATTATAAATGCTAATATCTATCAATAATTGTTTTATTATTATTTGCAAAAGCACTTAATTTGAGACTGTTTGCTTAGCCTACATATTCAGTGTATTAAAGTCATAATTATTTCAGAAAATGCGTTTGATAACAGTTCTTCGTGCCCAACATTTGGATCGTATGTTTAAAAAGCATTGGGTTATTCAAGGCCGCCGAAAAATAATAGAAACTGGGGCAGAAGCAGCACTCACCGCCAAAGGGATACCTGTTATTGATGCAAGTGAAGCCATAAAAGAAAAAAGGCAAATAGAAAAGTATGTTGTTGTAATCAACAAAACTATTATTTCTGTCGTTACTGTTATAGTTGCTACGCACAAGTATTTTATTTTGAATTTTAATATCTATTGCATTAGCTCTTTGAAGTGTATTTCTCTTTTTAATTGTATTGTCTTTCATGATTTCAAGTGGGCAATTTTATCAAATTCATATTCAAGCCCTCTCATTGTTTTGAAATTATGTGATAATAATTAAGATAAATAGCTTTTAATATACAATTAAATAAATTAATTAGGTTGCGTTTGATTTATAATATCTTAAGCACAAGTATATTATGGTAAACAAAAATAAATATAACACGGTGTTATTAATAATGTCTTGCATGTATTGTAAGCAACCTTAAATTTTCTACACTGAAATATAATAAATGTGAAAAAGAAATGTATCAAAACATCCAACAGAAAATGACAAATGTTATTGCAACTTTTTTGTTTAATAATTATTGTAATGTATAATATTTCGATTACATTATATTTTGTTCTTTACAGAATAGATGTGATTGGTATAATTCCAAAACCAATAGCATTTGATGAGACTCATCCAAATTATCACGAAAGAAAGTGCCATTTCTTTAGAGATCACAATGTTCTCTTAGAAGGAGTAAAACAAAGTTTGGTTGTAACAAAGTCTATACAGCTGAAAGAAAATTCCTTACCAGAACATTTAGAAAATGAAATCAGTAACACTGAGGTTCCAAACCGTGTACATGACTTAGTTAAAAGAGCTATTTTTAGTGCTAATGTATTTGATACTGAACAAGAAAAGTTACCTAAAGTTACTGATCCTTTGAGACCAGCTTTTAATTTTCCTAGGCGACTTGGAATATCAGATCATAGGAGAAAGTAAGTTCTAATAAGACAAAAAAGAATAAAAAACTTTTGTCTTGTATTGTTTATATTGATTTTTTTGCATTCAATTTGATTTATTACATTTTGAATATTTGTGTTTAATAATTAATTGAATGAATGAATTGTTTTAATGAAAATTCATAATTGTTTTATTTTTTAGCTTCATATTATCTTCCAAGCTGTTGAGAATTTGTGAAATGAGTTCAAATATTTTTTCGGAACGTAATGTTTTAAAAAATGCATATTTTTCTCTATGTTTGGAAAAGGATTCTGACTTAATTCAATTTGAAATAAATGCTGAAAATTTTGTTATTACGGATAAACCTTTGAAACCTGTTGTAAATGATGTGGCAAAAACAGAAGCGATCGAATTGTATAATATGTTTCCAATAAAGTCAACAATTACAATGCCGCAGGAAAACATTTATGAGTTAAATGATGTTTATCGTGAGTAAATTGAATGACATAACTTTTCATATTCTAAATTAATATAATATTGTATAATTTTGTCTTTAATTTCAATAATATTATAACAAATATTCCTCATTATTTGGATTAGTACAATGTTCTCTTAGTTTATTGTACATTGTGCGATTTACATTGCGCAAGATAATAGAATTAAATTTATGAGGAAGCTATTTGTAATATAAGCAATTTCAATGTGCACTTTCAAAATTAAACTCATGTTGATGATATTTGTTATAGCTTTAACTCAAGTAGCAAAAATGGATGCACCTCATACAATATTGTTAAATTTTACTCCAACATATGTTCATAATTTATATGAAACACCCGTAACAACAGACCAGACATTAGGAAGATCTATGATAAAAAGTTTTACGATAGCTGCAGCTTATGCCAAGAAAAAATATGGGGTATGTTTGAATTAGTTTTATTACCATATTTTTTAATTGAAATTAAAATGGAATTTTGTACTTTGTTTCATACCTTCTAATTACAAAGGAAACTCTCAAAGGGCTTTTAGACCTTTCGATAAAACTATTTATGTATGAATTTATTTGCATTTATGAAAAAAAGAAATGGTTTAAATTAACTGAAATTTTACATATAAATAATATTTTTTTAAAGGATGCTGTAGAAATTTTGCCTCAACCTATAACTGTTCAGTGTATACAAACCGATGGACGGTTGTTTGACTTTTCAGTATTTCAATTAAATACATTGAATATAAATGGGAATGAAGGAATTAAAAATATATGGTATCAAACTGAACAAATGCCATTATACAATATTTGTACATATGAGAAAGGAGTTCCTGTTCTTGAAGAATATAATCCTGAAATTATTAAATATTTACTTACGTTTTATAAAAATCAATAAAAGATGAATTATTAGTACAAATTTTATTTCTTCTTATTCTAATTTTGTATTCATATTTAGCCATAAATAGATTGATAATTTGTCATCACTCATAAAAATATTTTTTATACTGAATTACTTTATAATTATATGTGTATTAGTAGCATTGGGGCTTGCTATAAGCATTGGATTTGTGGAATGAATCGTTATTGGTAAATCCCAAACCATAGTTTCTATTGGTACATTTTCTGGTGCTCTCCAATCCATTATGGTTTTAGAAGGCAATTTCAATTCTGGACTTGAACTTGTAACAAATTCAAAGTGAAGTCTCCACTTTAAGGTAACTGTAATTGATAATTATAATGTAACAAAATTATTGATTGTTATTAAAATAATAATATCAGTCAAAAGAAAAAATCAACTTCCGGCAAAGAATTTTGTAATAACATAACCCAGACCATCGAAGTTGTTAATTAAGATAACTAAAATAGGAAGAAATGAACATACAAACCTAAAGATGTTTCAAAACACGGAGTTACATGTAAAGGTATAGGAAGTATGAGCTGAGTATGCGACAATCCAATACATACTTCATTATGTCTGTTATATGTTACAATTTTTCCTGTAGTTGCCTTGGATTCTGTTTTAGAATTTTTCAACACTTCTTCACATTGAAGAGAAACTGATATCTGAAATATTTGAATTATTTAAGTGCAAGATTCACTAGTGCAAGACTTAATTTGAAAGAAATAGTTTATATCTTCACCTGCATACATGGTACAACAGCTACTGAGAAATCAAAAGCACCTACAATATCTTCACCCAATTTATAAGCAGGTTTGAATAAACAAAATCGGCATACATGGCCATTATTATTAGTAATCATATAAAAATTTGGACTTCTGCGGGCCGTGATATTCTAGAAATTTCAAAATGAATTACTCAAACTCAAAAATTTATATCTAATCCATAGATAAATAAAATAATATGGTCTATCATGCTTAAAGTCTTAATTTATTTCTCAATTAATTGTGTATGTATGAAACAAATAATTTTAAAAAACAATCTCTTTTAGGAATAAGGATAGAATTTGATTAAAACACTAACTTGTAAATTTTCAATGGCAATCTCCAATGGCGAATCAGTTTTCTTGGTTTCAAGAAATGGATTAGTTCTTGTAAGCTCTTCTGAAGTATCATTGCATAAACCTAAACCATCCAGAGGAGTATTAACTGAACTCAATGGC